GCTACACGAGGGCTATCTGCGCTAGCGGTCCCTAATTTAGCAGTGTAAGACTAGAGGGAAGGCAGCTAGTCATCACCACCTACCGCCAACTCTTGGGATACTCTTTTACCAACGAATAGTGGGATTGGACGTCACATTATAACGCCCCCACGGCTGAAAGGGCGAGCATGTTTGGTAGGACGGGATTCGAACCCGCGACCCGCAGATTGTGAGTCGAGCACCCTAACCACCTGGCCATGCCGGGCCAAAAAAAAAAAAAGACGAAATACATTTGATTCGGAAATGTATTGTTAACGCAACTTAAATATTATATTCATACCAGTGGAGTTTAGACTTTTTAAGCGCATTGCTGTGAAAAACAAATCAATATTTCACTAAAACGATTAATTGAAAAGTTGCTGATAGTTTTTATTTGAACAGTAAATTTTCAAAATAGTCTACTAGAAAATTTTAAAGTGGCGGTACCGGTGAATCGGAAATTATTTCTACGTTTCAAAATGTAAGAGTTTCAGCGGTGAGTTTACCGACTTACAACGCTATAATCCGGGGCTCGATTCCTCGCGGTGGACAAAGTGCATATAACACATTGTGTAGCTTTGCGCTAAAACAGCAGCAAAACGTAAGAATTATATATATTTACATAATTAATAATACCATATCTCCGAAGATGGTGTCAAAGTGAATTACGGACTTTAAAGCTAAAACAGCAGCAAAACGTAAGAATTATATATATTTACATAATTAACAATACCATATCTCCGAAGATGGTGTCAAAGTGAATTACGGACTTTAAAGCTAAAATCTCGGGTTGGATTCTCCGCTGTGGACAGAGGTCAGATACCTCATTCTGCGCCTTTGAGCTGAAACAAATCGTACACACTTACAAATGAAATAAAATTTTCTTTCTTTATATTTATTGTTTTTCATCCGATAATACTCGCGTATTTCTTGTTTATTGCTTGATGAATATTATAATATTTGTCTGTGTATTAACATAATATCCCTAATTATGTGTGTTTTTCTTATAGCAAAGCCACATCGGGCTATCTGCCGCGTCCACCGAGGGGAATCGAGGAATAACTATAATGTCGTTTTATCATTTAGAATTTCTTTCTATTTTATTGAAACCTATTTATTCTTATATCATATTCTGTTTATTCTCTGTTTATATATTTTTCACTTAAAACTATCTATCCTTTATTATATACTTCCATATAGTTTAGTTATCTGTAGTTAGGCTGCTTGATTTGCTGTACCGTTTAAATAAGGCGAGTATAATTTTAAAATAGTGAACCTTGTAGTCAGGCTAGCTGCTATTAATAACAGAAAAGCGGTGATCGATATTAAATGGGTCATTGTTACCTCCAATTTTCAAGTCTATACAGCTGTTGATGCCAAAAAAACTGTATATGTTTTGTGATTAAAATGCATAATGAAATTAGAAATCTCTGGACACATTGTGGTATGCAGACATATTACGTGTTTCCAACCTTCTTAGCTAATAATTAAAAAATCAGAATTTCTCTACATATTACGCATGCACTATTAATATAGAAGGTCGGTCAATGGAATTCGAAGTTCTTCCCGCCATAGTTAACTCATGAAACTGGATCATTCATCTACTGTGCCACATACACTTTTTCACGGGGAAGATTTCTGTAATGTGGAGGATACTGTACAGAAATAGACAGTGACCTTTTCCACTGGCAACTCATGTGATGCCCAAACATCTCTTATTTTGAAGTGAGAGTGATCGTTACCCACATGGGAAACACATGCATCCTGGACTAATGACATTGTTGTATTTCGTATATAACGCCATGTTTTCTCAGTATGGAACATGATTTGAGAGAATACGTGACAATCGCATCCATATTCTACATACTTATTGTCTGAAAACTCTCCAGTAAAGACGCCATACAATACACACGTTCTTGTCCTTGTTTGTATTTGTCTATTAATTTTCTGTCATTGCGTTGTACTCCGTGTCCAGTCTGTTTTTGCATCAAATACGGTCGAAGTTAAGAGAATTGAGAATTTGTGGTTCCTACTCCATTACTCATAGGGAAATTAATGAATATGATAATTCCACAATATTATGCAATAGTAATTTTAACTTTGTTCATATTTTTTACTTCTTCGATACACACTGCTAAGCCAACAATATTTATATAGAACCTATATTATATATTTTATTAATTATGAATAACAATAATAATACAAGCTGACAAAGGACACTATGATTTGTTAAGAAAAATATTCATAATTTCGATTTTAGATAAGATTACTGTTAAATTTTATCAATAAGATATTTAAAATATCATAATATTTTTCATATCTCTATAGCCAGTCCCCCTGTAATCCAGTGGTAAGTTTACAGAGTTACGGTGCTAATATCCAGTGTTCGATTCCGCGCAGTGAAGAGGGCGAAAATAGCCCTTTGTGTAGCTTTGCGCTTAAAATAACTATAACATAACTTAGAATTTAGGAAATTGTCGTCGCATAATTACTACCGAATAGATATGTAATTTAATACTCCGTTTGCCACTACTCAGTATACAACTTGGAAATGAAAACGAGTCTTGGCAATTTTTATTTGGACTACTCTAAATTCAACAATAACTTCACGCAGTATATAAAACTCAAAACATTTTTTTTTACTTTATTCAGAAATTGAAAATAATCTAATTTAGGGTAAAAAACTAATTATAAATATAGGCACAAAAGTCAGTGGTTTATGACAAAGTTAAATTTTGCTGTAATTGTTTTGTGTGGAAGCAACATTATAAGTTCCTGTAATGAATTAATAATCCAGATATCTTCGTACGACAATGCTAAACTCTTATAGTACGATGTTTTGTTGTAATCTGGTTTACCTTTATTCATTCATGGTTCATTATATAGTCTACTGGAAAAAAACAAAATATTAACAATCATAACTTAAAACAGTAATTTGAATAAGAGAATATATATTTTTTCTTAACAAAAATTTTAATTAAGATATAAAGTGGATTAATGTTAAAATGAAACAACAAGTAAGGGATGTCCTCTTTTGTTCATTGAACGAAATTATAAGTTGCTATAAGTTCGGATGTTGATGGTGATACGAACAGTATAAAATGAATGTAGTAAGAACTTCGTTCCTTATACATGGTTGAATACGTTATACTGAAACGACTTTAGGCATGCAAGTCAACAGGACACAGCCAATATAAAGCCTCGGTGAAACGGAATGTAACATAACCATATTTAACATTGTATGGCGTTTAGTATGTAGTGTGATGCCATCGAAAATTAATCGCTTTTAGATAGTGATGTAACAGCTCTTTCCCAATAAAAATATTTGTACATTCAGACCATAAACATATGTTCAGCTCGAATATTTAGAATTTTCAAGACAGAGGTACACCTTATACTTAATAGCATGGCCTGATGGTTAAGACACTCGACTCGCAATCTGAGGGTTATGGTTCGAATTCCGTCTCCGAACATGCTCATGGGATCGTTATAATGTGACAGTCAACCTCAATATTCGTTGGTAAAGAGTAATCCAAAAGTTGGCGGTGAGTGGTGTTGACTAGCTGCTTTTTCCTCTAGTCTATCCCATGAAAATTCAAAATAGGGAATTGTTAGCGCAGGTAGTCTTGAAGTAGCTTTGCGCGAAATTCCAAACAAACACACTTAGTGTAATTAGAAAACAAAGGAATATGGATCAACTTGGGCCATCAGGACCAACCAGAAATAGACCTAAAAAAGTTGTATCCCAGCCGTGGTAGGCAAAATGTGGTGAGAATCCAGAAACATAAAACTCAGTGGCAAAATCCGTTCATGTATCCAAGGTAACGTAACCAAGAAGGTGTGTGTGTGTGTGTTTTTTTTAGTAAAGCTACACTTGGCTATCTGCTAACCCTTGATTTTAGCGTTCTAAATCCGTAGTCTTACAACTGTTCAACCGGGGATAACCAAGAAGGATATCTCTGTTGGGAAACGTGATACAAGTCCCCTGTAAAATACTATTTCCATGTCATATCAGTTCAACCCTTTCATACCTCAAGCAGCTGGAGAATGAAACGGAAATTCATGCTGTTACATATGAAGACACAATTCAAGACACCAGACGCGTCGCTTATATACTTCTGTGTTGAAATGGGTACTAGGAAATCATCGTTCTTATGCAGTAGATGGATTATGGAAAGCCCACAGGGAGGAGGGATTTGATGTAAACATGACAGCCTTACGATGGAACCTTTGGCAATGGAAACTACGCTGAAGGAATATTGTAAAGATGCAGGTAAAACATGACCACACATGGCGACATGGACTGTAACGATGTTGTGGGGCTCCAGAATCATTTTAATATGTTACTCAGCTTTTGTATAGTGGAACAATGTACATGAAGTAGTTACTATAAAGTTCATAGAAATATTGAATATGTATATATATATTAAGGCTTTTTATACATAACTAACAAAGCATTTATGTTTTGCACAGTATGAGAGCCTGGCGTCAAAAATACATTAGTATAAATAAATCTATGTTTTTATTTATTGTCTGTTTGTTTGTTATCAAGCACAAAGCTACACCATAAGTTGTTTGTGCTGTACCCACCACGAGTATCAAAACCTGGTTTCTAGCTGTGTGGGCCCTCAGACTTCGAGAAACCACTTGGTGGATGTGGGCTCTTTGACTTAATATATATTGTAAAGTCATATTTTGCTAGACTCTCTTGCCAGTGGAATACCCCTTTTTTTTTTTTTCCAGCGACAAATTAAATGAACGGTTTTTCATAAAATTACATATTATTTATAATTTAAAAATTACACCTGTTTGTTTCTGCTTACTGAAAAGAAAAACAGAGAGGAATACTTCTTATTTTACATAATCCACAGAGAAACACGAAACACTCACGTTTAATGAAGCAAACTATAATATTCGTAAAGAGAACACTGATAAAAATCGCTTGGTTACATGCGCGAAAAATCTGCGCAGCTCGATCGCACGCCATTACTTGAGCGAGCCGTCTTCACGAGCTCGCTCCTCTCCAGGCGTCATGTCGACCTTTAGCAACAATTCATACTCTTAGATATGGTTACAGTGGATCTCAGAAACGTCTTCTTCACTTTTGATTTCACAAATAATTGGTAACCTTTTCGGTAGAAGAGAAACTACTTGGTTGTCCGACAAAAATCCATTGTAGTGTGAGTAATGATTTTTCCGTATACTTCTTTATTCGTCTGTACTCTGTAAGCCATAGAACTAGGAAAGGTAGCGAACAAATCTGAAAATTTTTGTCAAACTGAAGCCTACGTAGCTTTCTCTAACGTTAGATGTTAGTTGGCATTCGCTTCGTGTTTTATATCATCTGATTATTTCTTTGCTTCACTTTAATAACTCCCTTATACCATGTTACAGCACAAACCTTAAAAGGTTTACCTGAGTATTCTGTGAATGTACACTCACTCAGTTTTCCACAAAAATAATTATAATAGGCTTATTTTGTACCTTCACACTGAAAATGCTCACTATTTATTTTCTTGTCAGAGTTTCAACGCTTAAAACATTATTGCATTCTTAGTCACAAAACAAAAAAATAACAATTCGCTAATCAGTATTATTTGCTTGAAAGTTAAATGGCGAACTGTTAGTGTTAGAGTTGAAGAAGTTGCCCATGCTACCTGAAAATGGAAAAAGAGTAATTTAGAGCATATCTTGAAAAACATCTTTTTCACATACCAGTGATGCCACCCAATGGCTTAGTGGTAAAATATAGAGCTCGTCGATCCCTGCGATGAGTATGGCACAGAAAGTCCATTGTGCATCTTCGCATTTAAGAACAAACAAAGTTATCCAAAGATTCATGGGCTTAGAAACGTATTGGCTTAGTTTGGACTTTTTATGCATGATTTGATTCTAATACTTTGAAAAATATTATAAATTTAAGCTGCTGAATTTAAATTTAAATAACAGTACAAAACAACAATGTGATTAATTATAATTCTCTTATAGGCACATTCCCCCCTCCCCCCAATATAATACCATCTCTCAACCCTCCACCCTAAAAACCACACATAATTTGTAGTCCTACTAATATTTTATTGTTTCATAGGTCAATGCAAAAATTTAAGGTTTTTCGGTATGTTTTTGAGAGTTAGGAGAGCACAATGTATTTATTAAGTGCTACATAAAACGATATATTGATTAAAATAATTTATTTTCTTATTGGAGTTCCTTGCTAACGTTAAAAATTGACAAACTCGGTTTTTAACTTGCGTAACTTTTTTTTCAGTTTTGGAAAGAAAATTATATGTAGCATTGTTTAAAGACGTTTTTCTTCATTTACTCTACACACTATAAGATTGCCTCAATTGAGCTTGACTTCTTTTCAGCTAGTCCATCCTACTTATTTGTCACAATTAACAATTACCCTCATATCTAGACCTGTGGATGTGATAATATTCAAAAGCAGCAAAAAGAAAAAGCAACCTTGGCGTTTATATTGATGTTCAAGATCTACTGGAACTTGTCGTGCAGTTGATACTAAATTTAAACGTTTCAGGAATATATTACCATCACGGTATAATTCTGTGAAGCTTAAGTAAAATGTTCATCCCACCTACGATAACAGTGGCCAAGAATAACATTTTAATGCTAAGAATTTTCCAGCCGGTTCAATCCGGCCACTTGCAGACATGGCACAGTAACTGTTGTATATTTTTCATATAATTCGCCGCCTCTGAAACTGCTTTCTACACTTTACTCTTCACAGGGAAGTGTATTTTTGGTGGAACGCGCTGTTTCACGACTCGGCTGATGTTCGGTTTACTAGAACGAAGCTTGTAGTTACATACAAAGTAGGGTATGTTGAAGTATCACATTTAATTACGTAAGCACGAAGAAGACTGCTACCTACTTCTTGGTTAAAGCCGCCTAAACCGTAGATGTCAACGATTGCTGTGAGTGAGAACAGTCGCCGTTAGGAACATATTGTCGTTTAACCATCTTTACGTCTGCCCTCCGTACCCACAGTTCTGTTTTTTTTTTTTTTAATGTATCAGTTTTAAAATATAATCATATGTACTGTGTAAATAGAAGCATGATAAACAGAAAAAAAGGAGGAAACCTTGTAGTTTCTTTAAAAAGGGGTACTTGATCATCTCAGCACAATATAAATACATAACCTGAAAACTACGTTAGGTGGGTTGTTACTGCTTAAAGCTGGGTCGTAGTAGATACTGTCCCCCGATGGGACAGCTGTAAATCTACAGACTTACAACGCAGAAATCCGTGGTTCAATTCCCCGCGGTGAACACAGCAGATAGCCTAATGTGGTTGTGCTATGAAACAACCAAACCAAACTTAGTAGATACTTACATCTTATACTTTTAAGCATTTCAGTATTGTTTGCCTGGATTGTAAAAAATACATCATCATTTAAATTTCCGAACAACTTTGTTTAATGCTTAAAATAGCCACATAAAAAATTACTAAAGCGTACAACAATCGTACTTTTAAATCTGTTATTTTGTACAGATAAAACAAGAAATAATTGGAAGGCTATTCAAGCAGACATTACAATAATATCAACATTTGTAAGGTGCATTTCAACTTAAACACTGATATATCTAATGCTTCATGAATTTCCAAATAACTTTATGGTTTACAATTTTTATACTTTACCTGTTATGATTCCTTTGGATGTTATAATTTCATCCTTGTGTGTCACAATGATTATTATTTTATCTCCTATCATGAATTCTTTGCCGTGATTGGCCGAGAGCGTATTACGTAGTATGAGACATTTTCAATGTTGCCTTGAAAGCCGGGCAACAAATCACATCAATATTGTTTTTATAAAGCCGTTGCCATGTATGCATGGCGTCGCAGCAGAACATTCCAAATGACAGTTTTTTGCAACATAGTGAAAACATGCTGATTCATTTAGGCTTAATGTTCAAACAACGACGGAAATCAAGCCAGCATTCTAGGCAAATTTTATGCTAAAGTTAGACAGGTGTATACTTTATACGTTTGTTGATATAATCACATGATGATGGGCTGTTATATTTTGAAAATCAAGCAATGTCTAAATCTTACTGATTTATTATTCATTCTTAAAATGAGAGCAGAATCTTCAATTGAATGTTAAACTTTCAGATTTACATGTAGGCTTGGTGATGTAGGCTAAAGATGCTATATGACAGCGCTAATTAATCAGGTTTCAGTAAAACTGAAAACAAAAGAAAGGAGAAAGCGGTTAGAATAAAACAATTAGCGACTTGTGATTTTGGGCAACAGATTACTTGTTACCTTCGTAACCAATCAATAATTGCTCATACCGAAAGCAGACACATTCTACCCCTTCATAATGTATTTTTTGCAATACGTTGACGCTTAACGAAAAAGACAATATTTCGATAGAAGTTAATGACTTTTTATGTTTTGAAGTTCCTGTTGTCAAACTACATTGGCATATTTGATTACGGTGAGATTATTCTTTTTAATTTGAACTTCATGAATTCTGGACTCACGTGTGGCATAAGAAAAGCTTTTTTTTTATTGTAACGACTCTGTTTAGAATCACAATGTACTTGTGAAGAGGCATTTCTTACACGGAGGATACCTCATAGTGTGCCTAAATTCCTTACCATCAAGAATTTTTGTCTAGATGCCAAGATCCTCTTTCTACCTCAATTTACTTTCTAGTTTTGACCGATTTTCCGATTTTTCAAAATATCATTTGGTTTCCATTACAACGAAATTGTTTGGCCTTGAATGTGACCGTGACCTTTGACATAAAATCACCAAAAGTTAATCAATTAGTCTTTTGGGAACACTCAACTTTTGTACGAAATTCTATCAAAAATCAGTTTAAAAAGTTTTCGAGTTATCTTGTATACACAGATATATGCCGATACAGTAATGATACAGATACACATGCCCTGCACCTCCGGGCAGAGATATTAAATAATTCCCACATACACCAAGTGCTAGATGTTAAGGTATTCAGTGACCGGTTTTGCTTATATTCTGATGAAATATTATTACATTTGTCAAGCATTAACACATTGACAATTTCCATTTTATTGCCTTTCATTGCAGCAAGCAGAATGTGACAATTAGTTGCATGAACCACGGTGGTGGTTCATAAGTTGGATCGCCAATTTGTTCATTTTTATTATTATATAGTATTGTTCCACCAGCCTACAGTAAAAATGGTTGTGAGTATTGTAATAATACCTGGGCAGTGTTAATAAACGCATCATTGCGCACTGTGTAGGGTAGTTTAACTTTAACTACCTAACAAATTACAGTGGCTGTATAACCGTTGACACCCAATCGTTTTAATGTAATCTGTGGTTTATATGGAGCCTCATACTCTACTACATACATAGCTATGTACATGTTTAAAATATGGATTTCTAGCTTGATAAAATGATGTCAACGCTATGTTTTAAACCTTAAGCTTGTTTGTGTACTTTTTTGGCGATTGCATTTTCACTTTAAAATACTTATCTTGTTCCTGTATTTTTTGAAGAGCCCTATTCTTCCTTTTTAAATTAACAATTTTTAATAATCTTGTTTATATCTTACTTTAACTTTAACCTTCAAACTCCACAACTACATTCTAATTTATTATTTGGGAAATTTGAAATTCCTAATCAGTTATGGTAATTCATGTTATTTATGTCTCCAAAAGATGAGGATTACCTTTTTCACCAAAACAAAATCTGAAGTTATTAACTGAGACGAGATGCGTCACGAAGGCAGGTCTGAAATCAAAATGGATGGGGGGGGGGAGCATCTAACTGTTGACTAGGGAGACCTATCTAATGAACAAAAAGTGTAACCAAATTGAAAACATCTTCTGCATGATTGACACTTTTTTAAGATGTTGCAACTGAAAGATGGAGAAGCTTGTTGATACATAGAACTTAATCTTTATTAACTGATAATAACTTTGGAAACTTATCGGAAAATAGCATGAAAAACATGTAATATATTTTAGTAACTAGAGTATGGTTAGAATAACCGCATATTTATGAAAGAATAACTTCAAGTTGAAACACGGTGGGCTCTATAGAAGGTCAACTAATACTGTTTTTTCTACATTTTTTTCTAAAACCCAATCCTAGTGAATTTTATAATTACTTTGACTGTGGAATTTAGAAATAAAAACTGTAATAACTATAAAGTTATTCTAAGCATTTGCAAAAGCAAAAACGCATGGGGGAAATGCTAGAGACGTTGTTTTACAAATATAAACTGCTAGAAAAACAAGTGATCAAAAACATTGAAGTTAAAAAATACACCTTCGGATCCTTCGTAAATTTAATTAGAGATAACCGAAATGAATGGATCTAATTGTCCTGCCATCCTTAATAGATTTCATAGTATAATCACGTGTTTGACTGTTGAGATTGAAAAAAGGTCAATTAGTGGATAATCCTATGTTACGAATTCCCAACTGATAGAACCACTATAGTGGAAATTAACGTACCACGTGGGTTCTTTTTGCAGTAGTTTCAGTCCACATTTTTGTGATTACCTCACAAAAATGTGGACTGGAAATGTTGTGAAATTTATTGTGTCTTAAGAACGGTTATATTAGTCTGACTATACGATGAATAATCTCCTAACAGACAACCGAAAACAAAGAATATGCAAAAAGAAGAGAGAGAGCTATAAGAAAAAATAAGCCAGTTCAGTAGCGACTATACGAATTTCATTATGTGTATTATGCATTATCATAATCGATATATGAGGGAATTATAGAATGGAATAGATGCAATAATAGAATCCGCCGTTGAATGGTTTTGTTGTCGTTGGAATGACGGCCCAACTGATGAACCGTTGCATTCCATTCGGTATAAGGTTTTGATTTATGACTTTGCATACACATACTTAGAAAGGTGTATTAAACCAGCTCCATTAATTACTGGGTTAGTTTTAGTTCTGATCTATGTAAATTGTTTTCTTTGATCAGGAGTTGATAATTACGTCAATAGAAGGGCCATGATGCAAGCTGACAAGTGGTCGCTTAGTAATTCTAGCACATGTTTTACAGCATGCCATCAATGATAGAATAGACCAACAACGAGATTTTCCTTAATAACTATTCAATCCATATATTTATAAAACAACGCTTGTTAGCGAAGCGATAAGTGAAGTGGTTATGGACATTTGGAAGGCATGAGTTTGCGCTTATTAATGTTAAGTATGCACCACACTATACTGATGAACATACATTGACGTTAAAGTAATCAAATCTAGCACCGAAGACTGCGAAAATGCTAAAACTAGTAACAACAATATCGTATCTAGACGTGTTATTGGGGCTGTTCGGTGTTCTTTGAGATTTGGTACATTTATTATGTTTTTTTAAGTTCATGGGAAATTAATGTATATTTTTACCCAAGCTAAAACTAGTGAGATTTTGTTTATGTCACACTTCTCTTTCTAGTAGCTTTTACTTCGTAAAAAAACAAACAATATATATATATATATATATATGTGTGTGTGTGTGTGTGTGTGTGTGTGTGTGATATAAAAGTCGGAGATTATTGATAATGATCCAATGATCCTGTTTTCTGGAAATGTTACCAGAGTCGCCTAACAACGATATGCCAAGCGTAGTTTGATAAACATTCCGCATTTTTTGATATTCATCCTTTTAGATAACTAATGAACATACAACTATAAATGTACTTCCGCAGGGTCCCCGAAAATGTTCTGTTTCAAGAGTAAATAAAACCAAATTTAGAGTAACAAATATTTTTATTTCTTACTTTTGAAGTTCATATGTCATGCTGTGCTGTAGCCTACAGAATGCATAATTCTTCTCGTGATTCATGGCATGCACTCGTTTTACTGACGTCACGACGGTACAAATTGGAACGTTAAGCGTCATTTTAGCGTCATGTGACATCATTTTAGTGTCTACTGACTGATTGACAGACAACACATTACTGTATAGTGGGTGCGAGTGGTTAAAACAGGTGACCCCCTCCAGGCGGCCTTCGGCCACCGTTCGGAGAAACAAGGCTACCTCCATTAAACAAATCACGGAAATAAAGGTTGCTTAAAACATGAATTGACTGATTTGTGAAGTTAAACTTATGTATAGACGACTGATTACACGATATGATTGTAAACAGTTTTATTACCCACACGTATAATAAATTGAAATCCATCTTTAAAATAGTTACACTGTGATGAAAAAAAAAACACGAAAGAAAAATAGATAGATAAGCTCTTTGTATCACCTCAACTAATGTTCCCATATATTTGGTTAATAAAAATTGAAGCTGCGTACTTTTCTTCGTTAGATACTGGAGTTACATTACAGAGAAAGAAGTAAGTGATGAATTACTGATACCTTTTGAAATGTAACAAAAATAAATTTATTTTTATTCACAGTTTTCAAAGCTAATAAAAAAATGTATTTTTTCAACTAATATACTAAATTTTTATTGAGTAAGTTTTGTCCAGAACTTCACAAAATCAAACAACATGAAAAATATAATTAAACTTTAAAATACAGGATGTAAAACTGTTTTCACTGCTGAGCAGTAGTGTATTGCTAAAAATATATATTATTTAAAGCTATGATTTCAACCCACAAACACGTTTATCTGGATTTGGGTTTAAAAATAGACTTTATAGAGTTTAGCTTAATAAATAAAGAATCAAAATAAATTATCTTAATATAATACAGTGTCTGAAATTAAAAATCATAACTTCAGCATTATTACAAAGCAAGCGCAAAACGATGGTATATTCAGTACGTAGAGATGACATACAAGGAGAGGCAGTTTCAAATGAGACGTCTTATGGAGGCTAATAAGACTGTTATTCATGTCAGTAACGAATAATTGTAAATGGCACATTATCTTTGAGTACACCACCAGAATACAAAGCTTTTGATATCATAGTAGGTCTTCAGAACATAAAGCCGATTTTGTTGAACTGTGAGGTTTACAGATCATCAACTGTTCCGTTGTGAAGGCCTGAAGCTCTTCAATTACAAAGATGGTTTGACTTCTTCATTCTGGAATGATTTAGGAGAGTGCGACATTTTGTCATGTAAACCTGGTTGGTCAGTATTCGTAGTTTATAATTACGAGAAAAAGGACTGGAACTGTGATATGTAAACTCTGCAGTCAGTAAGGGCGCTAGTAAGCTGCAGCTCTTCGAACTAATAGTGTGTACGATGCATCAACTCTGGTTAATAGCTATGATGCTACTAATAACGGAAAATGAAACTTGTATTCATGAGCATCCACAAGGGAGTGGGGGAGCAATGAGGCACTTTCCCCCTGGATTATCAATTTTGCGTTTTCCTAGGTATAGCTTTGATATCACTTTGTCATACGGACGCCCATACAAAAACAGTACAGAACAATAATTCAAAATTTTTCTGTACTCTTAAGGAGGTACATTTAGTAAAAATTGCAGTTAAGGCATGTAATATTTTTCAGAATTTTATGATTCACAAAAAAATTATCCAAGTTTAAATACACATGTAAAAGATAAAAGTCGATTTTCCTATGAAACTATATTTGTAATTAAGCCTGAATTAAAAGGAAACGGCATACTCAACACAACTATAAGGGTACATACGACCTTAAATGTTAGGATAAAGTGTGCTACTTGACAGTTACCAGCAAACCATTTTTTATCTTGTACGTTTAGATATTATTGATATATCAGGGATTAGAATAATTTAAGATATTATCGATATATCAGGGATTAGAATAATTTAAGATATTATTAATATATCAGAGATTAGAATAATTTAAGATATTATTGATATATCAAGGATTAGAATAATTTAAGATATTATTGATATATCAGGGATTAGAATAATTTAAGATATTATCGATATATCAGGGATTAGAATAATTTAAGATATTATTAATATATCAGAGATTAGAATAATTTAAGATATTATTGATATATCAGGGATTAGAATAATTTAAGATATTATTGATATATCAGGGATTCGAATAATTTAAGATATTATTGATATATCAGGGATTAAAATAATTCATGCAAGTAACATTTTAACATGAGACTTTATTGTATTTAATAACTTCAGTACACAACGTGGATGATGCTAACAAATTTGTTATAGCTATTTTCTTTTTCTCCAACTGCAGTTTATCCCACTTCAGGAGCTACTCACCTGCGACGTGCTGTCCAGTTTATTGATCTATCGAAACATCTGGTGCTCGCGTTCCAAGAGCTCGGAACATCATGACCAAAGCTTACGACTTTAATTGGCTGAGGGAGGTTCCAGAACCGTTATTGAAGGGTTGCTTGTTCGATCGTTGGGAGGAGGTACGAGTTACTCTGACATTATATCATGTTTATGATATTATTATTTTACTCCGGATTTTCATTCTCGCATTTATGTACGGACAGTCGTCGCTTATCATTATCTTTTCTCTTATAAAGCGCGTATTCTTAAATCAAAACTTAGACTGAGCTGTCATGGAAAAATGGCTGAACAAAATTATTTATATATAAAATAAGCGACCAAATCTATTGAGATTGAGATATCTATATATAAAATACACGACTAGATCTATTGCGTTTGCGTTATTTATGTATAAAAAACTACCAGATCTGTTGAGTTTGAGTTATTTATGTTTACAATTAACGACCAGATCTGTTTAGTTTGAGTTATTTATGTATAAAATAAACTACCAGATCTGTTTAGTTTGAGTTATTTATGTATAAAATAAACGACCGAATCTGTTTAATTTGAGACAATCAGCCTAATTATCCAAAGTAAAAACTTTAAAATGTTGTACATTTAAATCACCATCACTAATACAGAATTTGTTTTTTCCTTAAAAAACTGTTAATATGTGTATGTTCTAAATTCATTAGTTTTAAATATGTACATAATTTACTGTTTCATGTAAAACCAGTACAATACATATGTATCACGAATTTTAATCTCTTTTAGAAGTTATAATATTTTCAAATACGAAAGAATAACATGAATTTTACACGAAGAAGGTAAAATTCGAATTAAACAGGTAGTTAGATATGTATATCAGAGAAATGGAACGTTTATGTTAAACGTGTTTAGGAATTTTACATTGAAAGAGTATAATATAGAAAAGAAACCAGTTTCAGGTAAACGAGGTGTTGCGTATCATACGAGTACTGAAGTATCAATAATATCAAACATGATAAAACTTCTGTTCGTTTTCTCAAGTATGCACTTTCATCAGTTGCTTTTTTTTGAAGGGCCCGGCATGGCCAGGTGGTTAGGGCGCTCGACTCGCAATCTGTGGGTCGCGAGATCGAATCCCCGTCACACCAAACATGCTCGCCCTTTCAGCTGTGGGGGCGTTATAATGTGACGGTCAATCCCACTATTCGTTGGTAAAAGAGTAGCCCATGAGTTGGCGGTGGGTGGTGATGACTAGCTGCCTTCCCTCTAGTCTTACACTGCTAAATTAGGGACGGCTAGCGCAGATAGCCCTCGTGTAGCTTTGCGCGAAATCCAAAACAAACAAACAAACTTTTTTGAAGAGGGTATTAAACCAACTTTTTTATAAACAACTTTGAGTCCCTTATATTCCTGATGGAAATATTTTGTGGATGAAGTGTCAGAATTTAATGTGACGAGTTTTGGCTGGATTATGATTTTGGCAGTAGCATATGATGGTAAATTTTGAACTAATGCATTCACTTGTAAGGATATTGCAGCATACTGCTTAGATATTAACTCTAGTAGAATGTCCAAATTTCCAACCGGGCGTAGCCTAGTTGTTAGCGCGCTCGGACTGTGATTCCGATGATCTATGAGTCGCGTTCCGTTGCCGCAAAAATACGCGCCTCATATTGGGGCCGAGTGTGTGCTTTAACAGTGACAGTTAAATACTACTATTTGGTTGGACAAGATGAGTCCAAGAGTTGGCGGTTGGTGTTTTTTTTTTTGCTAGCTGCTTTTTTCGCTAATCTCTCAATCTAAAATTAAAGATGACTATGCGTAGACAGTCCTTTGTGTAACTGTGCGCGAAAACTTTAAAACGAACAACCAAACAAAACCTTACCAAATGTTTTCATCATTAAAACATAGTCTATCATTTTCACACACAGCTCTGTCTAAAATGAGAGCGTGTACTGACGTTACTGTAGGGACTAAAATACACAGAACGTTCCGACATTAAGAAAATGTCTGCAATGTATACAGAGCAGCCGTCTTTCGAAGCTTCCATTAATGAAAAATCCTCAACTTGTCACTAAAACCAGTTGCGTGCCCTCATTTAAAGCAGAAAGAAATATGTAGCAAAACACTTTTTTTCAAGCCTTTCACTTCTGTGAAAAACGCAGATACGTTCTATTTAAAAAAAAAATACTGTAAGGAATAGCAAGAACTGAAGAGCAAAAAAAAAAGCCAGCGAAATAAAAATATTCACTTTTCTCGTAAACTTTAAAATTGTGTTCTAAATTTCGTTGCCTAAATGAGTGGTAGAAGTACAAACTAATGGTAGATTAAACAAAAAATAAATAAAGCAGTAACTCAAGAGACGGAATAGAAGAGGGACATGGACTTTGAGAAGTTAAAAGTTACAAAGGTTATAATTGATAATATCAATTATAGTATCGTATTGAAGTAGCGTGTGTGTGTGTATATACGTGTGACTTCAATTTGTTACTTCCCAACCCCGATGACTCAGCAATAAATCTGAGGGCTTATAACGTTAAAAATATGGTTTCAATACCCGCGATGGGCACAGCACAGATAGCCCATTTGTGTAGCTTTGCGCATGACAATTATTGATACTGATATCTAATGAACTTCAATGTTAATCCAAAGAAGTTCATCTTTTAGTAATTACACTGACTTAAAAAATCTGTAGGCGACTACATCCCCTTTATTTTGCTACTCATAAACAGTCACATTTTCTGTTACTACAGTCTTCTGTCTCTGTGTGTGTAACAAAAATAAAATCCAGTCGTTTTCTTTGAATAAAAAGGGTTCGTTGTTAATCTGAAAAAACAAACAAACTTGAGTTTACATCCAAACCATGCTTTAAACTGACAAAAATAATTTTATCAATTATTCAAACGTTATATTCCAAGTTAGATATATAGCATTTTGACACTGGAAAAACACCCGCGTGTTAGTGTGTGCCTTGTTCGGGAGCTGTACGGGCTACTGGCACATTCAGGTATACTTTCCTCACATCACTTCTTCCGGAGAAGACAGCGGAGAGAGTGATCGACATCTCATCGTTGCAGTAAGGTAATCATTTGTATTATCAGCCACACCTCCAAGATCAATTTTAATATTTTTTTCTTATTATGTAACAGTGTACTTTTCTATCGGTTAGCCTGTGCTTGACGAACTGCTCACTCTGTCATTAATTAATAACTGATGTTTGCTTTTTCTTAGGAGAAAGAACAAGTCATGTACGAGCCGAATGCCTTCTTCAAGGTGGACGAATATGGGTTTTTTATTTACTGGAAGAGCGAGGGTCGCGTAAGTAATTTATTCTTATATGGAATCAATTGTGCATGCAAGTTTAATAACGATTTCTCGATGAAAATAAAATGTGCAGCGTACCAGTATATAACGACATTTCTCTTGTCAGATAAGCTGATAATTATAAAGTTTGGGGATTATTTCTCGCTTACTTTTGTATAGTTTACATTGATATGGTATCATTTGTGAAAAATAATGTATTTTTCTTGAAATGAAGAAAGAACTTACCTATATAATATGCAAGAAGGTTCTAACCTAATACATGTTTAACTTCTATCTGTTAGTGTGTTCTAAAGTACAAACATTCGATATCTGTTGGCGAAAATACATACATAATGCACTTCTATGTTGAACATAAGAACTTAGAACATGATCTATTGCAACTTAATTCCTGTTTTAATTTTTTTTTGTCACATCCAATAACGTCAATTATCGTAGTTGAAATGTAAACAATTACAGTAGTTCTCTGGAAAAGAAAAATGTATATAGGTTATCAATCGACTTTTTTTTTTACTCAACTGGCTGATATTTTTGAAAATTAATTATAGAATTATGATATTAGTTAATAGTTGTGTTCAATGCGAGCTTTATCTGGATCCGATAATGACTTGTTCGTTTTTGTAACAGTGTTTGCATTGAATTTTCTGAATTCAAATAAAACATTTGTGGCTTCGTAGTGAAATTCACAGTGGGGCTAACGAGAAACAACTCCCCATATAATGTTTTGAGAAAAGCGGGCAAAGGGGAAATTCGTGGAAAGAATGGGGGCAATGAAAATGAACTACCGGTAGTTTTATTTTTCTTACTAATCTTGCTTTTTTTCTACGATATTATATATATTTAACATAATATAGATAGATTTTTACATTAACAAGTTTAGTTTTTATTTATAATCTAAATGTTGTTTAAATTTTAAATGTATTTTGATTATTCCAAATGGTGCTGGATAACTTAATCATTATCAAAGTTTATAGGAAAACACATCAAGATTTTGAGGATTGGCTCTTCTGTTGCTTTGTATCCTCTATTAAACTATTGACACGAATATATCTAATGGTCTTATATTCCAGTGACTTTTTACCAGATATTTCTCAACTAAAATTTTAAAGTATTTATCATTGATGATTTGAACAACCATTGAACAAAATTCTAACCCTTGTATATAATAGAAACACGCATTCGACTGATGTTAATAAAACAAAACCAGCATCACCAAGTGGTTATCCTTACAATTTAAAAAATGATTTTAACTACAATCCTTGATAATGTGTTTACAACAAGCTTGCCATAAAGCGTGGAGAGCAAACAAACCATAGAGTAAATACTGTTACGACAGCGGGGGTCACGTGACTCTAGTAACACGTCGTATTCTCGAACGTTCACTCCCTTCCTGAAGCCTCGAGAGGTTACTAGATATGCGGTATTCTTGTATATATACGACCGGTAAGAAGTAACGGGAACAATGTAATGTAATTGAACTGCAGACAGAGATTGACGATTGAGTCGAGCACGTGAGTCGTTCGTTGTGAGTTAGAGCGTTTGTTATAGCGTGACTGTGGAAATTAAGTGTATTGCAAAGTTGTATTTAGAAAGAATAAACCAGTTTTATTTAAGAAAGGACTTGTATCGCTAAAGTTTCTTCGGAAACAAATTATACGGACAATTAGCTAACGAACAGAGACGTAACAATACGTTACCCGACATAATAGGCTTTTTTAACTTCAAAACTAAGTTCAAATTTTTCTTGAAAAGGCTCATTTTCTCACAGTAATAAACTACTATGTAGCAAATAATATAGAAGGCACTGATGTATAGTAAGAAGTACTGAATTTATATCTTAAACAACAACAAAAATAATTCCCACCCACATAGCTCTGCGTGCAGTATCAAATATTTACAGCGAAAATCAACACTGTTTCTTTTAACTCATGCACTTCAATCCGGTAGGCTTTTCGCACGTTGAAAACCCATAGTTTTCGCGCCCTTGGTGCTCTTTACAATATCTAGTGCTTTTTGATCAGTTATCTGGAAACTTATTTTGTGAAGATTGCCAACTTTTGTGTGCTTGATAATTTAAATTTTATCCAACTTGTATTGATGTGTCTCATAATTAAACGATAAGTTCAAGTACGAACATGCCAGTTCTTAAGCATGACATATTACCAAGTTCTAAAAAGAGTCATTGTTAGAACAGATATATTCAGATGTTCTGTCATCAGAAACAAATTACTAAAGTGTATGTGAGAATCTTCGTTAACGTCACCTTTTAAGGCATCACGAGACTATAGTGCCAAGAACAAAATAGATACTTGATGTTGATCTTGTGATAGTCCCACTTAATAGATTCTCGAAATAAGCAATGGAGATGAAAATCTTTTAATTAAAACGTAAAAAACTTTGTATTAAGAATTTGTCTAATAAAAAATATATAGATATGCAAATAAAGGATAATGATTTTTGTGAAGACCATAACACTTTTTAATAAGGTTTTCTGTCACCTTCACACTTAGATAATAATAAATTAAAGTTGTAAATGCGTTTGAAATAATATTTTTGAGGTATTTATTTATCTCTCTAATGTTAGCCGAGAACGATACCACCACAACAGAAAAAGTTGATTCGATGTGTTTATATCAAAAGCCAGACAACAATCCTCTTTTAATATACAAGTGACTCTTTTATGTGTACTGGAATGTACGGTTAGAAATGATAATTTCAAACATTTTATAGTTCAAATCGGCACCTTAAAAGTAGGATCTATATTTAAGTTATAGGTGTCTGTGACGTGGTTGCGTCACCTACGTGAGCATAAGGCGTTGTTCAGGTTGAAAATACAAAATACCGTCCTGTTTGAATTTAAAAACAAATGATTGAATATTCACCAAAGTACATGTGTTTCAGTAAAGGAAAATATTAATAGGTATAAGGAATGCCATTTGTAAACGATAAAATAGTACAATGCGATCTAATTGAAGGATTTTGTTTGCTTTAATAAACTTTCAAGTGGTTTACTGACACGAGGTGACGAGAATAAGAAACCATACAAAATAGATGAGTTTGTAGATTTTTATCACGCGTCTGGGTATTTATTATTGAATATTCCTAACTTGCGTCTTAGGTTTCAGATGTTACAAGCTCAGTTATTGTTTATTTTGGTTGTATATGGTTTCACTGCTAACAAACATCTGCTTGAAGATATTTATTACTTTAAAATCACGTAGGTAGGTAAAGTTAATCGCTGTGTCCCTTTCCTTTTTTTTGAAATGTTAATTGATCGATTATTTTAGCGCAAAACTACACAATCAGCTGTGTGCTTTGTGCTTATACCTTGTATCGAACCCCGAATTTTAGCATCATAACTCCTTTGCTTACCGCTGAGCCATAAAGGTAATTTTTTAAATATGCAGATGGTAGTAGAAAGTTTACAGACAATAGAACTGCCGTTTATTCAGACCGAAAGTATTCGCTTTCTTCGATTCATATTTCGCAGTGTTCTTGTTTGAAATATTGCCAGTTATGTTCATAGGCGCAACAACTGGGGGAGAAGGGGGTAGGCATGTCTTTCTCAATGTTAAAACATACCATCAAAAGTTATGAGCGCAAACAAGTGCTTAAGTGGTGAAGTGATTGGTACATAAGATTCAATGTGCAGTAAAACATTTAATATTAGATATATCTCATACTTACCGTGTCTGGTACACTTTACAAATACTAACTTTAAAATGTAACGATACCGTTTCACCAGAACACTTCGCTGATTTAGAAAACTTAGATTTTTTAAAGCACCATACCCAGCCCTTTACATAGAGAATGGTTAGACTGACATCAGTTTCAGTCATTTTTATACTCTGCGTTTGGCTAGTTTTTTTACACTTCTCACGAGCTTAAAGAACAACCAGAGAAGACTTGTGAAAGTTATATTCTCCATATCTGTTGATAGCGTATCACTTACGATGCTAAAAATGATTGTGCTTATGCAGCTTATCTTTTAATAAACACTTTTCGTCGATTTGGTGAACTGATGTAAAAGTGAAGTGCTTGGGAAACCTATAGAAATACAATAAATAT